TACTACGTACGTACGTACTACTACTACTAACTACTACGTTACTACTACTTACTACGTTACTACTACTACGTACTACTACTACTCTACTCTACTCTCTCTCTCTCTCTCTCTCTCTCTCTCTCTCTCTCTCTCTCTCTCTCTCTCTCTCTCTCTCTCTCTCTCTCTCTCTCTCTCTTTCTCTCTCTCTCTCTCTCTCTAAAAATCATAAATGTACTGCAGAACAGGGTTCCACAATCTATGCCAAAGGAAAATCAATGCGTGGAGCAAAGAACATATAAAATTTGATTTGCAGAATACATTGATAATGGATGAAAAGAAACAAACTTCATCTTCAGTATCAGAGTTCGGATTGTAAAACATATCCACTGACTGTAAAACATGATAATTTACTACTGGCTTGAATTCAAAAGATCCTAGAGAGAGAGACCCAATTCCTTTGGTGCCACCAGTGACGAGAGCAGTCATTCCATTGAGAGACCATCTCTCTCCTCCTCTTTTTATCCCGCAGCTGCTGCGGCTGCCCTCTGCTTCCTCACCCATTTCTCTTGCTTTCGATCAGGAAAAGACCCTGCACAGAGAGATGCATATACAGTGTCCTCCTTCCTGCCTCACACTTTGGTGCACAGCGCTGAATTTCGATTCTCGAGGACTTGGGACTTCTTCTTTCTGTTTCTTTTTTTTTTCTGTTTCTTTTTCTTTTTTTTTCTGTTTCTTTTTTTTTTTAATTTAATATAAATAATTTGATATTTACATATAAAATATGAGTAATGATCTACGAGACCCTCCACCACCACACACCCATGAGTTGATCTTTTGGAGTTTTACGGAAGGTATGGATTATTACTCATAAACTATATACATAAATAATAATAAAATATTTTATATAGCTATATTTTTGTGTACTTGAATTTAATCGTAAAATATTTTATATAGTTATATTTTTGTGTACTTGAATTTAATCGTAAAATATTTTATATAGTTATATTTTTGTGTACTTGAATTTAATCGTAAAATATTTTATATAGTTATATTTTTGTGTACTTGAATTTAATCAAACCGGCAGCACCAAGCTTTGTTTCGATTTACGCTTAAAATTCGAAAGTTTCGGCCTAAAGGCAAAACAAAAATAATAACATTGCTTTGGAGTTGGCCCCTAGGACATATGCAACTTTGGAGAAAGAACATTGGATTGAAAAAAGAACGTCGGATTTGTGTGGTCTTGTTAAAACGGGATTTTTTCATGGCCTCAGGTAGGGTATTGTTTCCATAGAGTATAATGATTTCTAGGATTCACGCATTAGTTGATTAGAAAAGATTCATTGTATCAACTCCAAATAATTATCGAAAAAAGGTCAATAATTATTAAAAAAAACAAATGATAATTATGAAATAATTATTGAAAAAGGCTAATGATAATTGTGAAATAATTATTGAAAAAGGCAAATGATAATGATGTGGTGAGCATGACACCCCCACACATCCCATTAAATTTGAAGCGCGTATTTTGTGCTCTGGCGGGATTATGTTGTGCATCTACTACCTGTAGATTTTTATTCACACGTATACCTGTTTAATAAATATCTTGAAAAATATCCAAATTGCCTCTTTTCAAGGCTGAAAACTCTCAAGCGCCTATTTGATAATTAGGAACTGGAATTTTATTGGAGATTTGGTTTTCAAGACTCTAAAATTGAATACTTTGATGATTGGGATCAATAAAAATTAGAAATAATATGTGGTTTTCAAATGCGGGGAACCAAAACCTAGACCGGTAACTGAGGCTCAAGTGATGCTACTACGATAACCTCAACCTCATTTCCAAAAAAATAATAAGTCAATGAGGATTCGGCCCTGTCTTTTGGTAGTGAGAATGAAATCAGAGATCTCATCATGGGGTTCGGCAATACTACTATCAAGTCCCATATCATTTTCAAAAGTGTATTACGGCCATGACATCCGATTTTTGGACATCTTCCAATGAGAATGATTAAAAACATAAGAGAGAAATTAAACATCGTCCCATTTTTGCACATCTGTAATCCACTCATGAAAACAACAAGAGCTAACAACAATCTTCCATTCAAATACATAACTGCGAATCCAATTCATTAAACTAGAAACAATCATCTACATCTAACTAAGGCTAATGCAAGCTAGGCATTGCAACGGTAAGCATTTTATCTCAATTCTCAAGAAAGTGAAACACAAAAAATCAACAAGGGCTACAATTTTTTAGAAAAATAAGATCCACTCCAACAAAGAGGTAGATTGAGAGAGAGAAGAAATAGACACAAAAAGACACAGAAAAAGTGAAGAAAGGAAAAGGAAAACAAGAGGGGAGAGGAAAAAAAGTGAAAGGAAAAGTAAGCATTCCCTTTTTTTTACTTTTGGATGGGGTTTTTGTGAGAGCCAACTCATACTATACATATGCAGGTCCCCTCTTAAACTATTTAGAAATGAATTTTGAATATAAAATTTTAGAGATTCATGACCTAGGTTAAGATGATCATGAAGGTGAAAATAAAATAAAATTTTTGATATTTAAAATGTAAATTTTTTTAAAAAAATCTACATGGTATAAACCTTGTGAGTTTTTTACAACATCCATATTTGGTGAGTAAGCGGGCCATTGCACGAGCTTAATCATGGAGGACTTTTCCTTTTGCAACTCTTAATAGTAATTATAAAAAAATGAACAGTACTTTGTAACCATGGTGGAGACTAGACAAACATAATCCATAAAAAACCCCTCCATGAAACTGATAAATATCATGTTTTCACATTAAAAACATGCAAAAGAAATCAAAAACAAGAATTTGTATATAAGTTAAATGAATAGAACTACTCACAAAAAATGATGATAGTTCAAAAAGATATGAGAATTTATGGCCTCACTCAGGGTATGCCTTTAATTGAACAGAATAGCGCACCAGGATTCCTATAGCCACCCCAATTAATTGAAAAAATACTATAACGATGATGATGATTCACAAAGATTGATGGTAAAGTCTCAAATATAAAAAACATAGAAGAGTTCATAATAAACAAAAAAAAATCACGAAAAAATAGAATTTCCATGGAGTAAGCATCCAAGCATGAACCTTGAAGCAAAATTGCAAACAGGAAGTACAAGAAATGCAGGGACTTTATTTTGAGAATTGGGGGTATGAGAATTGCTTGTAATCAAAGAAAAGGCACAACTCTAAGTCTTTTGGTATAAAATTCTAGGGTTTTTATTTTGAGAATTCAAGTTTTTTCTTTCTTTTTTTTCAGTTTTGATTTTGAAAGGCAAAGTGGATTTCGTTTGAAAGCTCGCCTTCCTCTCGAGAGACATACCTGCCACGAGAGAGACAAGACGTCTAGAGAGAGAAGATGAAAGAGATTGGGGGGCTCGGGGAGAAAAGTTGTAAAGGAAAATTTGAAAGGGAAGGGAAAAAAAATATCAGCCAATAAAGATGCCACTACTTTGCTTAGAAATGAAGGTTCCATATTTTTTTGAATGTTAATAGTAAGTTTTTATTTATAAAAGGAAAATTGTTTCATGTGGCGGGGACTGTATTTTTATATTTTGGTCCGTAAGGGATAAAGCATCTATTTTAAAGGGGTAATGATTTCATGCGACCGTTGTATATGATGCAACAACTTTAAAAAATGGCTATTTGTTTGATTCAAATTTTAAAATATACACTCTTCTTATTCTAATGAACAATCACAAAAAATAAAAAAAAATTGAAAACACAACTGAAAAAGTATTTTTTTAATTCAATTAACATAGGCCGTTCATTTTGGTGAGATGCTTAGATCTAGGCTTTAGTAGGATTTTTTCATTTCCAATTTTTTTGGATGGCTTTATTATCATTAGATGAACAATTTTAAAGAGAAAAAAATGATTTTGAGTTTATAAAAACCAAGATCTTGAAATTCACAAAATGAATGGTCTAGATTCGTTTTTAGAGGGGACTCATTTTGACCATATCTACGGTTCAAATTGAACTTTTTTTTTTGGGGGATTGATTATTGAGATGAAGATAGTATGTGTGTGTGTAAAAATTGGGGTCATACAAATACCATAAACATGGTTTTCGAGAAGTGTCGTTGCAATATACTATGATACAACCGTTGCATTGGATCATTGTTCATTTTAAATATTGATGCAAATAGGTAGTCCATCTAAAAACAATTGAAACTAACCGTCCAAATATTTTCTTAATAGAATTATTATTTTTAATTTTAAAAATTTATTTATTATTTGTATTCATGATCTCCATGCTAGAGATTACATATCCTCAAAATTAAAATCCATCTCAAAAATAGATTTTTTAAGAGGTGACTCATTTCTTGATGGACACATAGAAAGGTGTCTCTAATAAAAAGAGGTAACCTCCAAATAATAAATACAAAGAAGACGAAATAGAGAGAGTCATCTATTCAAAAGAGGCCGATCAACACTTCCAAAAAAATGACCAAACTCTAAACCTTGAAGAGCTGCAATACCAACAAACTTAGACGCCCCAAAATCCGCCACTGCGGCCGAGTCCTTACAGCTACTTGGCCAGGGAAATTTTTAATCATGTCCTTCTAATCAATAAAGGAAAATTGTTTTTTGTGGGCTCAACTGCATTTCTACAATATATGGTCCAGAGGTATAAAGAGGTATAAAGCGTCCATCTTAAAGATGAATGTAAATAGGTGGTCCATCTAAAAACAAATGTAACTAATGGTTCACATATTTTCTTAATATAATTATTAACTCTAGTTTTTTTTTTTTTCTTTTTTCATATTCATGATATGCTTGTTAAAGATTATATATTCTCTAAAAATTAAGATCAAATTATAATTAAAAAATATATTTATTGTTAAACCTACGTTCCTACAATATGCGGGCTAGCTGCATAGAAACCGTGTCCATAAATGTGTGCATTTTATAGAGAGAGAACAACCAAAGCGGTACATTCACTCTCGCTGCTCCAACATCCATCCTTTAGCTGGATGGTGAGATATACTGGTGGCCTTGGTTTTCGTAGTTTATATAGATCATATTAATTTTTAAAACCTTAAAAATCAGTGATTCAGATTAGAACTGGCTTGTATTGATTCTAGAATAAGTCAAGTCAATCGGATCTCATAAATATTAGAAATCAGCATGTTCCTTCAACCAGCCCAACTTTATTTTTATATGTTTTTTAATTTTTTATTCCTTAACTTTTCAAATTGACTAATCGTTAAACCGGACTTCTGATATGCTAATCTAGATTGATGTTTTAGAAGGGAGAAAAGTTTATATAAGGGCGAGGCTCTAAACAATTAAATTTATTGGATATGGTGATATCAAAATCACCTCCATAAAGAAATCCCATATTACATGGGACTGTGATTAATATTGATAAATTTTCTAAATAAAATATAAATTCAAAAAGATTACAATTCTGAGATATATCTCTTAATTCTTGAAATATATGTAAAGTCAATAGGAAGTTTCCTATTTGATGTGGATTTCTAACCTTTATATATATATAGATATATATATATATATATATGATGAAAATACATAGAATTTATGTGCCCTATTTAGGTCACCATATGAGAAAAGTGGCTTCCTCTAAAGATAGAGGTTGGACCTCCGTTACTCAGCTTCCTACGAAGAAAAACACCATGAATGTGTCTCCTGTGATTGAGATGTTGGTTT